GTGCTTCTCATTTTTGGTACTCTTCCAAAATACTACCCCAAAACCCCAAAACCCCAGGTTCAGTCATTGAAATGAGAAATAAAGAAATTGAGATGCAGATGAGTTTTTTTGTAGATATTTTATTGAATGTAAGCTTAAATCAAGCTAACACTGCTTTGCTGATGCTCATTGTTGGGTTCCCTTTTCTGAAACGTAGATACCGTCCAAGAACTTTCTATCATCCTTGTCTCCGATTTTGCAAACTTGGGAAACTTGGGCGCATGTGAGTGAGACGTTTTGGTTGTCAATACCTTCGAAAATGATCTCATCCTTAAGGTCTGGGTTCAACTTTACGGTAGTGCCTGGAAGCATTTCGATTTTCTTGGCTTGCTTACCGCCTAAGAAGTTCTTGATTTCAATAGACTTGCCGTCCTTTGGAATAACTACATTGATTGGGAAATGAGCATGAACGAGTCTCATCTTATATCTGTAACCCTATATTCATAATTAATTATTAATATTAAATTGGATTGAGAGAGAGCAAAGATTGACGAATTGCCTAAACGTTCAATGGTTTGGCACTTACATCGGTAACACCAGTGATCATGTTGCGGACGAGGGACTTAAGGGTGGCGACTGAGCAGCTTTGCTTGGATCCACCGAACCACATCTTGATGTTGAGGTAGAGACCCTTTCTATTCTTAGTTGCTTGCTTCATGGTTTTCATCTCGACGGGCATGTGTCTGAAGTCTTTGGTGATCTCGCCCTTGGGACCCTTTACCTTCACTCTTCTTGTCTTCACTGTCAATGTAACTATAGAAGGTGATGTAAAGTTGATGTTTAAACCTACCTCCTTCAGGGATGTGTACCCATTCCTCAACTACAATAGTTCTCATACTTCGATATCTTCTTTTATATTAATTAATAATAACTATTTATTTTCATTCCTAAAGTATTTGATTTATTATATAATACAAATTAATATTTACTATACTTTCATTTATTACTCACTCATTTAAAACCTGTGACTAATCAAACTCTACATTTATTCAAATTCACAACTTATTAAAATTATCATCACTTTGATCTCACCTAGCCAATCGACTTTTCTTGGCCTGGGGGCTCATCATCGTCCTCATTTTCAGCATCAGCAGGCATCTCATCAATACTTTATCTTCCAGGTACCTATTCTAATGATTTGATAGCGTTTTTAAGTGTGCTAATCTATTAAAGTTTACTCTCGAGGGCTTTACCACTTTTTAGATATCCTTTTAATATATCATCAAGACTTTCACTGCCTGTGTACATCTATCTATTTTAGTTACCTGAATTCATGTGTACACTTGATAAAGCATCTTCTAGATCGTCGGTACACCCATATTTAAACTTTTGCTCTTGATCTCCAGAACTTTGGTTTTAAAGACCTAAAAAATTATCAGGTCTACCTTGGCCATCAAGAAATTCTATTTTCCCTTCTTCTCCCTCAAATTTTAGGGAGGGATCTCCGTCTCCTTTTCTTGACCTATTGGCTTACAATTCTTACTTCTTCTCTGGAGCCACATTAACTTGGTCTGTATTTTTAGTTGCATTATTCTCGATTATCTCTGGATCGTTTTGATTTGTTTCATCATACTTAATAAATCTTGGTTTTTATATGCAAGCTTTGATCACTAAAGCAGTAAAAAGTGCAAAAATAATGAAAAAGACATCAATTGCAAATCCTGTGTAATGAACTGGTAAGAATATATCTAGCAAATTATCTTATTGTCTATGATAGAGCTCTATAAAGCCGTCTTAATTATAATTATACATGACATAAAGGAATATGGCTTTTTAGTTGATCTATTGTAAGTTCGAATCAAATTATTGCATTGACGTTTGATTTTAGAATAATAACCCATTGGAGTAAGATTCAGATAAAAACGTTAATTAATAGTCCTTTAAGTTAGTATCGAAATTAGATAATTTCATTGAGTAAAGTCTAGTTAAAATAGCATCAGCATCCTCAAAGTTTAAGTAATTATGTACTTTATTTGAGAATATTACATTTTGAAAGTTAAATAAATAATTTTATCGTGTCTAATTAAGCAAGTTCTCCTCTACACAAATCTTTGACTTCTCTTAAGTTAAGTATGCTACCTTATTCATACTTAAAACAGATTAATTTTCAGTATAAAGCTTTGAAATATCAAAAGATACAAGCATTATTAGGTAAACTAAACAAAAATAAATGATTGACTAAGACAAAACTCCTAAAATTGGGAATTTCTCACTTAAGTAGTGATTAGAAGTAGATATGAAGTTCCTATAAGTTTTTCTTAAAAATTTCTTCCAAGTTAACTTTTTCTTTTTCATTTTCACTGTCTCTTTCTCCTTGAAAAATAATGATAAAAGAGCAACTAGCGCAATAACTGGAGTTAAAATACCAAAAAGCCATTAAAGCAGAGTAATTATAATAATATTCAAAGCTTATTTCCAAATAAAAGGCCGAATCAGAACCATTGGCTCATTCAGAGAATTAATTTCAAGAAATTTAGATTGATCAGCCACTAATGCTGGCTTGGTTTAAATGATAACAGTACATTAATTCAATTAAAAGCAGCGATTAGCTTGAGTTTAATTTTGAAATTTTATCACGTTAACTTATTAAGTTGTGTTTCTTAGTTGCTAATATTGATTCAACAACAGCACTGTAATATTATTTTGATAGTAATAATTTTGTTAATCAACGATTCCTAAGTTTATTTATTATTAGTTGCACTTCAAAGCAAAGAAGAGCAAGCACATTATTTTTAGTATGCATCTAAATTGTCCTTTAAGGAGTTTCTATAAGTTTGCATAATTCATTTCCATTAAATTGATTGTAAATATAATTTTGAAGTTTAAATTAATTCATTTCTATTTTAAATTCATATTCACGGGGTTTTGGGGTTTTGGGGTTTTGGGGTTTTGGGG